GACAAGCGGCCAAGGAGGAGAAGCAGGAGCACAGACGGGCTCAAGATGAGGTGAAGCACCGTTAAGAAGTGGCGGACCGCCCCCCCTCCCACAATTCCATTTCTAGCTAGGGTTCTAAGACGTAATTTCCAAATTGTAAATATTGCACTTTAGCCATTCCTTGATTTTTCCTTCATTAATAATATTTAATTTATTTTACGTAACTATTTTATTTGATACACAATTACAAAATTAAATATAACAAAAATTATTCTGAAAATATTTAATCTCCTGTTTTTCCAACGAAATATTCTCATGGTAGGCAAACCAATAAAATAGTTCTAATCAGTTGCATTGGATTGTGCAAACGGTTTCATGTGAAACATGTTCAAGGCTGTTTCCGCGTTGGTTGCTTAGGGCTTTGAATGTTTCTCTGATGTGTATGTGTGTGTGTGTGGGGGGGGTGATGCCTTAGAAGGGATGAATTTACAACTTTGTAGACGGGTTGTCGTTGTGAACGGTAAATTAATTACAAACAATTTTTTATTGAACTCTACTACTAAGTACCATCCTACAGATGACACATATGAAGAAACACATTTACAGATTCTTTGAATTCCGTTAGCCAGTGCAAATGAGTATGAAATGAGTATGGTTATTTTGTAGTTACGTTATAGTTCGTGTAGTAAACAGCAAAAAATTGAGTTATACGGGTTACAAGGGGTTTCTTATCGTTATATTTGGCTTAAACAGGTAAATTAATGTGCGAAGGTTTAGTTAAGATTTCGAGTGACAGAGGTCCCACTTTATTTTACACATTATATGAATCGAATAGTAATATCTGTTTGTTCATATTTTGATAATACACACAATGCCACTGCTAGAGTGGTGGCCTCACCTTTCATAAATCCAAATTTCAAAATATTAGAAATCTGAAGAGAAGAAAGTTGGAAATGTTATTTAGAAGAACGTTAGAAGGCAGTCAAGAAAAACGCAGATATATAGAACAGCAACAGCAGCAGCAAAGAAGAAGAATTGACAGAAAAGTCAAGAAGGTACGAGGCAGACGAGATTTTATAGTGAAGAAAACGAAACCAATAAGAATTTTGGAAGTATAAGCTAAGCACATAGGTATGTAGAAAAACTGATGAGAAAAATGACAATGTTTAATATACATCGAGTACAGTTCGAAAGAAAGTAAATCTACATGAAGACACATACAATCGAGAGATAAAATATTTCAAGAAGAAAAGTGATGCCTGTGATTTAACGTACAATTAAATGTAATTGATTAATAATTACTAGTCACTAATAAAAAATATTAACATAATCACCAGTGACATAGGTTTCATGTTTCAACTGTCAAATAATGAAACTTGTTTTTCAAAGATAAAATTACTGGTGTATTATAGACGATTATCAATAATTAAAATAATAGTATGATTTTAAATATTCACCTGTTGAAGATGAGATATAGTCTCATCATTGTATTAATACATTATTTCAGCATAAACCTCCTTTAGAACTCACAAACAGGTACTTATTTATTATTAACTTTTTTACACATCCATACAAATTAAAACAATAAACGGAATGAAACCCAATTAATTTGATGTTTAAAAACGTATCGATTATCATTTGCGAGTTTAATTTACACGATTCAATGTGTTAAAAGAAAGAATCAAGTATATCATAAACCCTCTACTTTGTTGACAGTGTCATTATTCCTTTATTTCAATTTATCTGATTCTTTCTTTAGGAATTCAAATATTCGTCTTGCAGCATTAGTACATTTACTCACAGTGAAACCCCTCAGTTTTTGGACATAGTTTAAATTTAGTCACTTATACATCTAAGCTATTTTCCTCCAATCGGTTAAGTCAAAGAATGAGATGTGTGCAACTTCCATGGAATGGTATATTGTAACAGGTCGAAATATTATCTATGTTAGTAAAAGTCATAAATGGTTGTGTGCAAAATTTTAAAGGTTAAACCAGTGTTTAATTTCCTCTAAACAAAAGCGAAGTGGGGAATTTATGCTCTTTATACTAATTTGGAATAACGCCGACAGTAAGTATTGGCGTGAGCGTTGGGCAGCTCTCAGAAAGTATCTCTAACTTATCGCTTGACTATGTGAGCGAACTGTGCGCTTATATTACGAACCAGAAGAGTATAGATGAACAGCCTAAAGTTGAAAGTGCAAATATTAATGTAAAATTGTCTATTTTATTTATTTTTCAGAGTAAAATAGTTTATTCAACAGCTAAACATTTCCATATCAATTACATGTGACGTCAAACTCAGTGTGTTTGCGACAAGACACGATAGATCATTCCCTTGTTGGATGAGTAAATTGTTCAAGGCTTTAGCCGAACCGATCGGGAATTGACACGAATCTCCTACTTTACCTAAGTGTACTAGTAGCTCAAGCTCCGAATAGATTGATAGGTCTGCGATTCTCTTCAGTAATATTCACACGTCACCACCCGGCTACGCTCTTTGAGGCTCCACAGTAATGACAAAGTGGCGACATACGTACATGAAGGGTTTCACTGCACAAAATGACCGCGGAGAGGCAAGAACACACGTTTTTGAAGATAGAGGTAAGAGCGGAGGGACATTAGCACATTTATGGCTGAGAACCAGGCTGTCCTAAGTTCATTTTACTAAATTTTTCAAGAGAGCTATTTCATTTTTTTTGACTGTGTGAGTAAGAAAGTAATGGGTTTGCGCAAGTTTATGAAACGGAATATTTACAATTTGGTTTGATGTACGCGCGTAGACTGGGACAGAAAACAAAATGAAATTCAGATCTCATTTCGTTAAAGAACTGGATTTAAATTTAATTTTGTGGAAAACTTGGACAGTCTGGTTCTTTCCTACCGATATCCTAACGACTGAACACGACGTGTCACGCCGTTATGACGAATGTGGATGTTGTACCTGTTTGGAGGCGTAGGCGTTGGCGTTGGCGTGGTCGTGGGCGGCGGTGCCGTTGGCGGCGGTGCCCTCGCCGTGCGCGTTGGCGTGCGTGTGGTGGCTGGCGGGGGCGGTGGCGGGGTAGCGGAGCTGAGAATGGCGCGGGGAGGGCGCTTCGCCGGAGCGTCGCCGGAGGTCGCTGGTGCCGTCGAGGGGCGGCGCCTGCTGCGCGGGCGCGGGCGTGGGCGTGGGCGGCGCGGCGCGCAGCAGCAGCGGGGACGACGCCGGCAGCATGTAGCCGCTCGGCACCGCCGACGTGCTCTCCGAAGCCGCCTAACACACGGGCAAACACATCGCACATGGAATTAACACCAACCACGAGGGCGGAAGCTTCCGCGGCCGGAGCCAGTAGCTGCATGGCCGTCCGGGAGCACACAAGTCGGGAGCACACAAGTCGAAGTTTCGGCCGTCAAGCTGCGTGCGTATAAATCTTTACATAGTCCATCTTCGCGCATTTGCCTTGAGGAAGGTTGCAGCTTGACGGCCGAAAGGTTGGCACCTGTGCCTGGGCGGAGGCGACTTTCGGGCAGCCAAGAAGCTACAGTTGGAATAGACATTAACTACACTCGCTGAGAGAGCTGCTCTCAAGGAACAATTTGATAGCCACCATTGTAATGGAAACGTGCGCACCTCTTGGAAGTGGCAGAGACTGAGATAGCAGCCGGAATCGTTTTGACTAACGACACGTATTTTTACTGTGAGTGTATTATTTCAAAGTATGAAAATGTAGGTGAAATAAAATTATTAAGTGTTGTGTGGCATGTAAGTGCACAAAAAATTCATTGTTATAATTTTTAATTCAAGATAAATCAATTTAACTCTTCGGAAGGACATATTAGCAGGGGAATATCTGCAATGTTTCTTTATTATTAATTATTTCTACGTGTTGAAGTAGCACATTTCATTAAATTAATCAAAAACTTAAATTAATTGTGTGGGCTTTTCGTGTGAAAACGTAGATATATGTATTGTTAAAGAAAATGTCAGTTGATGTAGAAAACATGCATCAGAACATTATCCATACAAAGCGAATGGCTTGTTGTTTCCTTGTTTCTTTTTGTTTCGGTATACTAATTAAAACAGAAGTGAAGATGAAAATGAATGCAAATGCTGTCAGAAACCCGCACGTGTTCATTATTGACTAATAATTCAAAGTATCAATTGTCATATTCATACCAGCAACACCTCGTTCCACGTAGGGCGTTATAAAATTTCATTATTCGTGAACTGAAGAACTATGAGAGAGACAGAACAACTACTATTGAATAAAATGTAAAAACAAAACGCACACTGTAACTATACTGCAACAAAAATTACAGATAACCAAAATGAAGTTTCTGTATTGTAGACTGTGAATCGCATGTTACATGTTGTTCAGGTTTACAAGTACATTAAGTAATCAGACATAATTAAATGTGTTCAAAGAACAACGGTCGGATTAACCAATTCTCTGAATAAATATAATTATTAAAATACACTTTTCAATCTCTAACATGGTCACAACTTGGATTTCTTTACGATTTCAGGACATATTTCCGAGCGCAACTGGGTCTAATAAGGTGACAGGAAAGGTGGCAATTGTGTTCAAAAACACTTGTTCAGATACACCGTCAAACGGGGTGAGACAGCGCCACATGGGGTGAAAATGTGCAGGGCTTCATTTCTTGAGATATTCTCATCCTATTGACAGGTTTGCTGTTTCTAACTTGCGTTAATAGTGTGAAGATCTCGAAAAGTCTTGCTTTATAAAAGCGATTTATTTACGCGCCATGTGCCGGGCTGAAAGTCTATGCACAATTAGTGTGGGATTGTTTTATTGAATATTGTTAATGACTTCTTGGCTGTCCGGGTGACGCCGTATCGTTGGCTGAGCGAGCGCCGTTTGGCCTGTCGTGTACCATGCGTCCACAGGGTAGTGACTACCCTGAGGAATAGGTCTGTACCCTGAGGAAGCGTGACACCCAAATCGTCGACAGAAGTCATGAACTCGAGCCGCGGACGAATACGCGCACATATTGTTGATATTGGTCTGTTTACTATTGACATACGAGTATTAACGTATCTGGACACGGTTCACTAAAACTCAACAAACAAACTCTGCAAAGAAAAAGTATGTAATCCCGTAAACGTATAAGTGAGGATATTGTATTTATGATTGCTTCAAACTCGAGAAAATGATTGTTTTGGGAAATTATTACGGTCTGATGAAAAGAAAGTGTTTACCTCACGGTTAATAATAGGTGAATTGCTTTTATAATGAAATCATAAAAAAATTAAATATCCCAGAGTAAATCAAACAAAGCTTCCATGTACCTTTAAGAAAAGTATTTTTGTTATTGATATATTCACTAGTACTTCCTTCTTGCATCGTTTGTGAAGTTTGTTTATTTTTCAGATTCTACACTCATGATAAGACAGTAAAGGGAGCTCATTAAAATTAAAATTGCTTTCATGTCAGACATAAGAAGCGTCTTCAGAAAGAGCATCCTTATGTTGTAATGATAAAATTCGTAATGACACAGTAACAATATTGGTAACTGTTCATTGCAAAATGAATCAGAAGACGTCGGTGAGGATATTCATTTTGTTCGCCCTCGCAAATACAAGAAAGCCTAAGGAAAGGGCCGCTGCGCATGCATGCACAACGGGTTGCATACACGCAATATTCATAGTCTCATGAGAAAAAGGAAATATTCCTCAAATTTAATAGGAATGTCTTAATAGTTGTGTTAGTGTTTAATAGTAATGTTAATAATTATGCAATAATAATAATAATAATAATAGTAATAAAACTGCCCTGAAATATTGTTTTAGGATAAAAGTAGATAAGAGGTGCATATTATTAACATTGTCATCCCTCACACTCATAGCATAGTACAACCTACAATACAAAGATCAGTAAATATACAGATTTGGCAGATGAAACAAAGATACCTGGACTATAGTCCTCTCAAATACTGGAATAGTGTTAAAATCGACAAAGGGTGACACCAATAGTGAATGTACTTGCTCCCGGAGGTGTATGAGTGATCCTAGCTGAAGGGACTACGGCAGGTGAATGTCCCCCACCGCGAGGGAGAAGTAAAAACGTAATAATAATAATAATAATAATAATAATAATAATAATAATAATAATAACATAATTGAAGTAATCCAAAATGAAGTTACGCATATTTCAAAATCAGTGGCACATTTATTTAGCCACATAGGATCAAGTAAGCAAATTTATTTGTAATAATTACCTATTAAATAAAATAAAATAAATAAGTTTCATCTGAAAGTATACCTCACAAAATGCAGTGATCGCGGGCGAGGGCCTACCTCCTTGAGCGTGTTGTCGAGCGCGGAGACGGAGGCGGAGGCGTTGGAGGAGGAGGTGGCGCTGGCCGGCGCGCGCAGCTCCTCCAGCGGCCCCGTCACCGCCGTCTCCAGCTCCCCCGACGCCGCGTCCAGCTCCGACGGGTCCGTCTCCAGCAGGCTGCAACCACACGACGCCACAGCTACATGACAGCTCGCGCCTCGCTCACCGCGGCGGACAGACCACGCCGCTCCCACGGGGGCCTGGCAAGGAACGGCGTGAACCGGACGCCTCCTTTTGCCTTTTTTTGTCTTTGAAAATTAGTTGGTTTAAACATAGGGAAGTTATATTTTCAAAACCACGTGATATTTTCACGAATTCTAAGTAAATAAATGCTCGCGGAGTATCATTTTACTTTTTTGCATTCTCTTTACGAACTATACAGACAGTATTGTAATGCCGTAGAAAAAAACAGCGATTCTTCGGAAAGCAGGTTTTACTATACTGTTATATTCTTAAAGTCATATTTCACCATTATGGAACAGAGAATTTAGGAAAAAAGTGAAAAAATCTGTTAGGTGCAAAGAGATGGCAGTTGAGAAGAGGTTCGGACAAAGCCGAAAATACAGACCAGACTAAAAAGAAGGAAATCAACTAGTACGGGGAAATCTACCATTCTGTAGCACCACTCGTACTTTCTCGCATGCATTTTCCCGCGTACTGATTACGCAGTGTACTATAGTATAGTAATGATCTAGCAAAAATGCGATTTTTCGACTGCTAAACACGATTGTAAGACCCTGGTGTGGATAAATCGTGTTTTAATATGTAGTAACCGGGAAAACCGTAAGCAGTATTTTCACCAAAATTGATATTCCACCATCGATCAGATTGATTCTAAGTTGAAATTTTTTTCGGCATCTTCCTACAACTACAATATTAATACTCTCTTTTTTGACATAATTCTACAAAGTTGGATCTTTAAATAACGTCACATACAATTTTTCAAAATTTTGATCAGTTTTCGAATAATTTGACTTGAAATATAGGCATTTCAAAAGTAATGCGTTTTTAGAAACTATTTCAAAATGTTAAAAAATCTTAAATTGAATAAACCACGGCAATGAGACTGGCTTAGGTTCCGTTTTCTATGAAATATTCCATATTCCATTCTTTTCGAAAATTACAAAAAAATAACATTATTGATTGAAACAAATTACAATATTGATGACAACGATGTTTTATTTAATGAAACATGTTATTAAAAATTATATCTTTAAATAAGGTTATGTACATTTTTTAGAAAACAAGAGTAGTTTCGCGTTATTTTTGCAATCTTCCAAATTGCACATTCGAATTTCCGGGACTTCTTTCTCTAGAATCTTTCAGGAGCTCTCAGGTTGCAATATTACAATGACAATCCGCGACATCACAGTTTGAAATTCTCAGAGAAGTGTATTGTATTGGTGCTGAAAATATCGATTGTTTGACAGATAAACACGTATATTGTTTCAATTACTTTCTCGAACACGTTATGTAGGTAGAATTCACGGGATCTTGATACCGAAGGTGTTTCTGGGTGAATGGCATACAATATTTGATTGCAGAATTTGTGTTTATATATTAGTTTAAATGAATTAAGTTTTCGCGCATAAAACACTACAATTGGTAATGAGTTTTACAAGTGATGGCTGAAATGGGTGTAATGTATACAGAAATTGTGGAATTATAATTTTAAGTAGTAACAGTTACCATTACCACTACGTGCTGTTGTTGCTTCTGCCAATTTCTTAGTGAGTTCTAGCTCTTAACTTAAAAATGTCATCTAATTAATGGGACATGAAAAAACAAAATCAAAAACTCAACCTATAAACAGTTATTCATTATCATTGTTATTCAAATATTTTGTATGTCATTTCCAATAAGAACGTATAGAAAATTATATTAAAACAGATTCTAAATAACATTATGGAAATTGAGCCTCCATGCGTTCACTTACACCCAACTACTTGTTCATTCAGCACGAAAAAAGATTTTAAGAAATGATTTTAAACCATGAAGTTCTGCAAAACAGAAAAAATGAGAAAAGGAAGAAGGAAAAAGACTGCCACTGAGATTCTTAGACTTAGTTGAAAAATTAATATAAGGTCCGTTGCGAATTTTAGTAATAATGCTTTTACTATAATTTGTGATACTATTTTTGCAAACGTGGCTGTCTAACGCAGATGCTTTAAATTTGTAAAGTGCTTTTCATTTGTGCGTCAACAATAAAAGAACAAACATAAAGACCAGCGCAAAATACTTACAACGACTACATAACCATCAAAGTATTCTTGCCATTAACTTACTAGACAATAGTGACACCACCAGACAACTTAAACGATATCATACTTTAGACCTGACATATCGACTATAAATTGTTACATTATTTTGTTTTATTATTATATATGCTTGTGATCGTATATTTTTAGTATGTTAGTTTAGTTTTGTTATCAAATATGTTTAGTGTGTGTTAATCTGGAAAAATGTAATATTAGAAGTACGGTCAATGTACCTTACCCCTCTCATGTTATTAAAATTGTATGTAATTTTGCCAAATGTTTATACTAAAACGAATTGCAAAATAAAATATTATTATGATAAAAAAATTGTGCGACATGATCTACTGAACCTCTAACAATCAATCATATGCTTTCAAAGTAGGGCCAGGAACGATATATTTCCTGCTTCTAACATCGGTAGCTAGAGATGTATTTTGTGTCCTATCATGAGCATAGTTAAAGAATATTTTTGTTGCCACTGAATTAACTTTCAGGCAGTGTCTTAGCACTCAACAAGATTGCATGGAAGTTTCATCGGCTCTTATTTATACAATACGTGAAGAGCTCTTTTTAAACAAGATTATTCACGAAAACCTTGCTTTCCAGTTTTACCTTCTTTCTAAAACTTGTTATGACTAATGAAGTGCCAGACGATGACTCACATGGAAGCTAATTAGAATTTCACGCTCATCAGTCGTGTACTCTATTAGAGTGGACATAATGCAAAAGGAAGGAGAAATGACGAGTGAATAGAACAGTTGTGTTAGTTCTGACTTTTGTCGAAGTAAATTGAAAGGGGAGTTAAAATTAGAGGTAGAAAATATAAGGAGTCACTTTTTGTGTGATTATCTTATGTTCTATTGTGACTGTATCATGCACAGAAAGTTATTATCCTTAGTAAAATACTATTCCAATAAATATTCTCTTTTGCCGAGTCGTAATTACATATCTCAAGATCTCTTAGAAGGGTCCTCCTCCGATAAATAAATCGCTTTGATCGCCTAGTTGGATCTTCAAAAAATGGGCTTTCCCTTTCGTGCGCGGTGGGAACTCTCCCTCTCGATCTGTGAGATGCAAAGATTGAGGTGGATTGGGGTGTTTGACGTCAGTCGATTACAAAAAGTGTAGTTGATAACGGCTTTTAGACACGACATACGAAGGGCTCTCGGTAAGTTTTCTTCCTAGCAGAGTTTCCAATAGTTGAATGGGGTGTGCATACTTTTACCAGTTCAGACATGCCAATACAAGCTTTATTCAAATATTAATGCCACTTTGTTCACAAGTCGTAGGTAAATAAGTTGCCAACAGTGCAAAACGTCATGAATCAGGCGAAGTTGGAGCTCCGATCTGTCATCAAATTTCTCATGAAGGGAAGCCAAAGAAATTCATTTACTGATGCTCGCATTACTGAGTATTAGAGGATCTCATATCTAGGCAAAGTACTGGTCTAAGCAGTTTAAATGGGGCAGAAAATCAATTGAAGATGATCCGTTATCTTGGAGACTTGTCGAGTGACTTGTTAGTAAATGTGCAAGAAAAAAGATCTGGTAATGCAAGACAAGATTAGACACAGTGTTTGGGTTGTCTGAATCAACAGTTCTGAACTTTCCTTATTAACGTTTAGGCATCTCAAAGGTTTGTTTAAATTGGGTTCTCAGTATGTTCTCGCCTCTCTGAAAGCAGGGATGAGTGAAAATGTAAGATGGGTATATTTTGGGGATCTTGAAACGCATCAAGGATCAATGCAATCCAAGCATAAGGGTACTGGAACACACAAAAAATTTGGACGTAACCATCTGCTATTGATTCAGAGTCATCATCTTCCGGAAGTCACAGAGAATTGTGCTTATAGTGTGAAGAAAACGCTTTTAGAGTGCTTATAACACTTCTCAACATTTATAATGTTATATCTTCGCAATGTTAAATGTTTGGGTCTAATTCTCCGGCTCTATTGAAGTTAGACTCGTGAAATTTGTACAAGTTACAGATATATTACTCATAATACCATGTAAACAACTGGTTTGAAAAATGTTAAATATTTTTGTAGATAAAACTATTCTCTCACTTTTTTACTGCGTTTTATAGTAAAAAAAGTTCTGCAGAATGAATAATGCTAAGGTAATCAGAAAAAAATGTTTCAATAAATGTAGAAGACAATTATTAGCAAATACTGAAAAGGTCAGTTTCCTATTTAAAATGTAAGTTGAAAAAAGGCACACTTAGTATTAAAAATATCAACTATCGGAAAATGGGCTTTAAAGATGCAACCCTCAACATACGCCAGCTCTGTAACTTGCCTCGTAAGAATAATAATTTTCCAATAACTACTTCCTTTTGACACATTTTTTGTTCGTTAGCTTCACAAGATAAAGTTTTCAATTTACTTTTTGCATGACTAAATCTTTCAGTGTTTATACGCTGCATTATGTAGGATCTAAAAATATTGGAGCCTGGATTGGAGCATTGGAGGCCAATAAAAGAAAAACATCACATATCAATAATTAAAAAAATACTAGTAAGAGGGATGCTAACATAATTGAAATGCCAAATTAAAGAGAAAAATATAGAGATTTATCAAAAATAAAATACCAAAAAACCATGTTTTGACTGGAAAATCGTTCGGTTTCCCCTTGAGGAAGGCCATTAAGGAGAAATGTCGTGGTGCGCTGTCAAAGGTCTGCTCCTGCTTCACGACAACGCGCCCAAGCACAAGTACTAAAAATCAAATACTGCAATTGAAGGCTGGATTTGAAAAATTAAACCACCTACTCTATTACCCATTTTTAGCTCACAGTCATTACATTCTATTCAGAAATCTTAAAAAATATATTTGGACGCTTGTCGGGCCCAATGAATAAGTGAAGAGTGTTGTAAATGAGTACTTTGAATGGTATGAAAGAAATTTTTAAATCTGTCTGCAATATATTTTACCGGAAAGTGGAGGAAATGTACTGAACTGAAAGGGAATTATATAGAAAAGAATCAATAAAATTTTCAATTTTTCTACATTATGTCTTACTTAGAAAACGTATCAAGTACCCTCGTGTAGTGGCCGGCAGTAGCGAAAATAATTGTAAACAAAATCACCCACAATGGTTTTCTAAAAAGAAACACACTGCTATACAACAACAAAGTATAATCTTATAATACGTATTGCATTATACTCTCCCTTAACAAATATTGTACAATAACTATGTTGAGGAATACAGCTGTAACACATTCGTGGTTGTATATTCAGGTACACGCAGTGTTGTACATTCGGATACACAGTAGAACATTTCTACATACTCCAAAAATATCAAAGTAAATTCCATTATGCAACACGTGAATAGCAAATACGCAGGTGTGCCGCGCAGAACCGACTAAAGCAGTTTTAAGGAGCAATAAAGTAAATCTGAACATATTGAGAGAAAATGTTTTTATTTCTAAATTAGTGCAATATACATTTTATATTCATGTAGTTTTGAAAATAATGCCGAAGGTGGCGGCCTGAGCATCAATACATTGCTGTAGACGATCCCTGAAGTTTCGAGCAGCTCTTGCACATATCACGGGTATGCATTAACTTCGTCAATAATCCGCATTTTTAACCCTGCTAGGGTTGAGGCGGCTTTTGAAACTTTTCCTCAGATATCCCCAAAGAAAGTAGTCACAAATGCTCAGATCTGTGACCGCGCAGGCCACCCGACACACCCCTCAAAGAGACGAGGCGTCCGGAAACATTTCTCCTCAAAACACCAAGTGAAACTCGAGCTGTGTGAGCAGTAGCTCCATCCTGTTGGAACCACAAGTCCCCCAGTACCTGTTCTTCAACAATCTCGTCGAATTTGGGTTGCAGAAATTTCAACATTGAAACATAACGTGTGGAGTTCACTGTCACGGTCACTTCTTCCCCTCAATAAGTAAGGTGCCAACTACGCCAAATTTGAAAATGGCACACCACACTGTCACTTTGGGGAATGTTGCGTCTTCATGAATAATTTGGGGTTATTTCAGCCCAGTAACGAACGTTTTGCTTATTCACGCACCCACACAGATGAAAATGTGTCTCGTCACTACTGAAGAAAGCTGCAGTCGGAGGGATCTGAGCAAGCATTTCTCACACAGATTTTGACGGTTGGCGTAGTCTTGCTGGGCGTAATTCTTGAGCAATCATTATTTTGAAAGGATGGAAATTCCAAATCGAATCGCAGAATCCTTCTCAAACTTTGTGGTCTGATATCCCCAATGCAACAGCATGTCGTCGGCAGAACGTTGCGGCGATTGTTGACACTGCTGATCTCACCCGCTGCACATTTTTTCTGGCGTTCTGATGGATAGGCTTCGACCATGTGTATCTAATTCTTAGTGTGCTACCAGTTTCCTCAACTGCCGCACCCAGAAAACCGAATTGTGTTTGCATTAGGACACGCATTGTGCGTGAATTTTTGAACTGTCGCGAAAAAAGTCTCGTTGTGTAGCGATCAGAGATCTGTTGTTTTCATAATAAGCACGAATGGTAAAACCACGATTGTTACCGGTCCACACCATGTTGGCTACTGAATGGCGTTAACTACTGAACAAAGGCAGACCACTTGCAGCTGCCTACCCCCACCACAGCTCCCTTGGTAATCATAGAAACTGCTTAGTCGGTCTGCCGGCACCCTGTATTTAATCGTGGATGGCCTATTCTTTGGAACCTTATTGGTGTCCACATGACGTGAAACTCGTTTTCCGTAGATACCAGACACATCACAAGTTGGAAATTCCTGTCAGTAGGCGCAAGTATGACAATAGGAGATTAACATACTTACAGACCACGAAATTTTAATTTTCAGTAATAAATCTGAAATCATATATATATTTTTGTATATTTTTAAGATCTTGGCTATGCTAATGAAACTATTCACACCTCTTACATGGCAAGAGAAGGCTAATTATTATACATTCTGCTCGCACACGAAAATTAGTATGCGCAAGCGCTGACCCACAGACGGACACACGTTTCGCCGTCAGCCACTCTTTCGGTATCAAGGACCGCCAAACGTGAATTCTGATCATACAATGTGTAAGAGAAAAGTAATTTACTGTATGTAGGAACAAAATTTACTCACTTTCTTGATACCAGAGCCCCAGAATACACGTTTGTCTTTCTAATAAGAGTGTTTGTATCGAAAATTCGCCATTTTGCGGCACACTATTACCATACCTTTTCTTCTTACGTTAGTACGTGCGAGAAAGTAAAAATCGCCGATTATTGCCACAATATTACAAGAATTTCTTTTACTTTCTGTGCATATGCAATCCAAAATCTAAATTCTATCAAATATGGCACGTAGAAGTTAAAGAATAAATATTTTGCCCCTGCCTCATCGCCCCCATTACTCATCAAGTAGATGCCAATTTCATCGATTGGCTACATTTCATTTGCGAATTTTCGATGAGACTGAAGTCTATAAACCTCTTCACCTGCTGATTTTCTACGTGTGTTTCCATAAAGATAAAACACGTAACCCGAACGTTGTTAACTCGCGTGCATATGGCTCCGGTAAAGTGGTGCTACAATACCTAGTACTGATAGTAATAACCTGAATTGAAGGTCGGAACATATTTATCTTTTTGAAGAAGGAAAAGAAAAGAGGAAAGGTTAATTCTTAAGATATCGATTGTGGGTTTAGGATACTTCTGTTCATGGTGTACTGAAATACTTAGGCTTCAAATTCTTCTTTGAATTATCTCTATTTAATATAGATGCGTACGTTCGTGGTAGTGCAGTGTAAGTGTGTGTAAGTAAGGGGTAAGAATAGGACAAGGAAGAGGAAGGAAATACCACGCGCTGTTCGTGGCCCGTTTGTTGGATCACCACTCCGACATTTGTGTGGTGTTGATCGGAGAAACGACGGAAGACTGCCGATCAGAGCGGCCGGCCGCAAGAATTCAGCTCCAGACAGCGACTGAATTCAACCTAGTTAAGGCCCACTCACAATGCAAACATAAACATAAGCATGGCTAAAAGTTAGGACTACGTCCACAAGCGGACTCATTCACAATGCGTTCGCATAAACATAACACGTAAGACATTAACTTAAAAGCTTGCAAGCTTCAAACGTCTGTGCTTATGCTTAAGTAAGACATAAGAAACGAACCAATCACAGAACGGTAACTCAAAATCGAGAATCGCAATTGGAGCGAAGTCGATAGAAGAACTAACACCATATGGGCCATGGACACAGTCGATACCTCGAAATCAATTCTCGCATCCAACCAGTACTAAATCAGAATGTCTCACAGCCAATAGAAACTCTTATTTTGCTAACGTTTATATCAGGCATTGTGAATACTTCAGTCTATCACTTATGTCAATGTTTATGTCTACGTGTGCATTGTGGATGGGGCTTCGCCTCCGAGGCAGGCCACTCACCTGGCGTAGACGCTGTCGTCGCCCGGGATGACCTCGATCTTGCCGTAGAAGTGGTAGAGGTCGGCGTTGGGCTGCTCGCACTCGACGCGCGCGCGCAGCTTGGCCAGCTGCTCGGGGCGCGAGAAGAGGCGCAGCATGCGAGGGCAGTGCAGCGTCTGTGGCAGTTTGGTCACGCTGCCCTTGAGCAGGCGCGGCAGCGGCGCCGTCGACGGCAGGCGCACCTCCTGCGGGGGCCGAGGGCGGAAGGACGGGTGAGGAGCGGCCGGGGCGGGGCGGGGCGGGCGGGGGCGAGCGGGCGGGGGGGGAGAACGGAGAGCCCCCCGCCGCAGAGTCACATTCGAACAAGGTGAATAAAATGTACTTGATTACGAAGTGTCTTCCAAATTATAAAGATTTGAGGCAAATTTACTTCATATGCAGCAAACCTTGCAGACAGATTTATTTAACAGTTTATGTAAACTTAATTTAGTTATAAAAACTTACTTTAGTTTAATGTAAACTTAATAACACATGACCTGTTAATTGCTTTCGGCAATAAATGTTTTTGATTATTCCTCTTCCTTCAAACATGAAAAGTATTAAAAGAGTTTTAAAATAATTATTTGGCCCTATGATGTCCAATTACTAGTCTGATAATGATATCGTTCATTTTGATAAAGCAATATAAAACAACCCATTAATTATTATAGTCTTATTTCATTCCTATTTAATTTAAAATATGCAAAACCCAAATTAAAGTCCATTTTAAATTATGGAGCACAAACTTCAAAATTCAATCTTTATAGACATTTTCAACATACTGGAATCCTCTTCTTAGTTATTGATCAAGCATATTTGTTGCTTACGAGCCTCCGCAAAAATGTTGACATTACGGGGAAGTGGAAGGAAATGGAAGCTCACCTTGAGGTTGGTCTCTCCGTCGAGGTTGGCGGTGGTGACGTGCGCGCGGCCCTCCACGTCGCTGGACGCCAGCAGCACCAGGTCGCACGGCACGTCCTCGTCCCGCCGCACCATCACCAGGTCGCCCACCTGCACCTCCTTCGACTTGATGCGCTGCAAGCACCCGTTAGTCACGCCATTGGCGCGGTCCCTCCGCGCGGCCGAACACACGGCCCGCACGCGCGCGCACACGCGCACGCACACACACACGCGCACGCGCACACACACGCGCACGCGCACACACACGCGCACGCACACACACACACACGCGCGCACGAACTCGCGCACGCACACACACACGCGCACGCGCACGCAACGCGCGCTCGTTAGCGTATTACATGCAAAATTGCTCTTCAAGCACTAACACGCGCTACTTCATGGGTTCGTAGGCTTCCGCGGCCGGAGTCAATGCATTCTTCGCTATCCGGGATGAGCCGCGTCTCGGTCAATTGTGCTGACGTTTCGGCCATCTTGTTGTGGCCTTCTTGGCAGTAGTATAGCTCTGAAGAAGGCCACATCAAGATGGCCGTAACGTTAGCACAATTGACAGAGACGCAGCTCATTCCGGATAGCCAAGAATGCACGTGCTACTTCATATTTTAGATTCTCTCCATACTACGCACTTACGTATTAATGAGAAAGTATTGTAATGCTGCGACAAAAATATCGCCACATTTCACTGAAGCACTCCTAAATACGGTAAATAAAAGATGTTGTCTGGTATCAAAAAATATGTTTTGCTAATGATCGTTTCGATTGCGTAGCGATTATTCTCAGAGCCTCCAGCTTCCGGGACGAAAACAAAGTTCTGGGCAAATCTTTAGCAAAATAAATTTTTTGATACCAGACTACATCTTTAATTTACCATATTTAATTATTAGAAGGTATCCCACCAGCGAACTAATTAGTAAAAGCACTCTTATTGTGGGACCCTGGTATCGACAAAGTAGAAATATTTCCTTCCCATTCGAAGTAAATTACTTCCTCTAACACATAACACATTATGTAGTCATTATCCACGTTTTGTGGCACCTTGATACTGAAATATCGATTGACGACAAATGTCAGTCTGTACGCAACGCAAGTGCCTAAATCGATTTCCTGTAAAACTTGGTTCCCCGATCGATCATGTCGAACACGGGGTCTTGCGAGTGTGAATAGGATATTTTTGTTTTGAAGGGTACTTTACATAAAGCCTCAATATTTTCCAAATTTTCTCTAAAATTGTTCAAAAATGTTTCATTAATTTTTCAACATTTCCTTGGATTGAGCGGAGGACACTTAAAAAACCCACGCGGGTATGATTTACGATGTACTCCTTAATTTTCGAAATTTGCAGAAACTTACAAATGATGTAGAAAATATGTTCTGTATTTGACATGTACTTCTCTTTTTCTACATATATTTCATTCAATAAATAGTTATTTGTACGCTAAGCAAAACACGTGTCAACAAACAATCTGCTTTTTTATAAAATTTAGGTACTGATATGTTTTAACTTCAATTACTTCATCATTATACTTTCATTTTGGAGATGTTTGAATAATACTTTAAAAACATTATTTAATGAATCCACATTGCATTACATTCAGAAAGTTTCTAATAATAAAAGCCGTACAAGACGAAACAATGACTCCTAACCTAAACCAAAATACTGGAAAAAACGACTCTGGGGTCCGTCGTTGCCCCCCCCCAATGATAGGTGACTTAACAAAAGCCTTACATTTCAGTATCCTATAATTTTTATAACTAATTGGCTTGTTGTTTTATTCAACTAGTGTTTTACAAAGCTTTAAAGAATACTACGAAACCCTTTTTGTATTTGAAAATGCGGAACAATTTTCGCCTTTGTAAAAATACGTTATTACAAAAGGCCAAAATAAAAGTCATAACACTGAACAAACATTTATTTACTGAATATTGATTATGACACTCGAAAATATTTTTCAAGTAACTGATTATATTTTATTTGCAATAGCAATCAATTACAATAGTTTTCATTGCAGAATTGATAATTACCCAACCAATATCTAGGTTAAAACGTACGGGACGTAGAACCGACGTCAGGTGGATGAACGGGTTGGAGGAAGTGTTGCATCACATCGCGCACATGCGGGCGCGCACGCAGACGCCCACACACGCACTCGTGCGGCGCAGCAGAGGCAAACGATCGCGTTGAACGGAAGGGTGAGCGGCGACGGATTAATTCAAGGGAAACTGATGTATGTGTAGATGTCCCACCAACCACGCCCCCACCCATAACTTCTAAACGGTTCACGCTATCGGAATGCAGTTTTCATTCAACAATGAGGAACCACGAGGCAAATAATAAGCCGTAGAGACAGTATTGTTCGAAATATTTTTAGTTTTCGAGAAATTAGATGTCTTTCTTTTTTTAATGAAATTTTATATTTTCTCACCAGCAATGGGTAGATCATTAAAAACGGGATTCAACAGTTTTATATAAAAAAAATCAAAGATAATTAAATTTCTCGAAAACTAAATAGATTACGAACAATATCTGGATATTGCTTGCCCCATGATCCCGCATTGTGGAGCGAAAACTGTATTTCGATATCGTGAACCATTTAGAAGATATGAGGGTGGCCTGCAATGGGTGAGACACCCGGTATACATTTCTCACACACATCTAGATACATATGTTTTAGCCTGTCGGCCGTGGGATCGGGAGACCTATGGCAAACAGGTTACAACCCCGTACGCAATATATTTCATTCTCTTCCTGTGAGACGATTTCACTTTTCCAACTAGACGAACTGGGACATGGTGATGGATTAATTTTTGGCCCATTTGAGCAAGCCCGGGGTCGCGGCAATGAAAGTTACCTCACTAACCGTGAACCATTAGAGCTACATACATGAAGGCCCCTCGGTGACTCAGCTAGTTTTTCGCAATCTCGAGTACGATTCCTAGATAACCCAAAAATATTTGAGATTTTGAGGGGATATTATTGTGAAATAGTTGTAAAATTGAGCTCATTATTTTACATTGAGATTTCTGGTTTTGGGAAATTTTATTATATCACAACTTTCATAAAAAGCATAAAATCATAAAAATATCATAAAAATACGGTATCATAAAAATACTTTATAGTTTTTATAAAAATACTTAAAATAGTTTTTATAAAATATAGTAAATTAATGCTCGTACCAAAAATAACCTTACATATGGCAATGCATCAGATAATGTGTTGTTCCATTCTTGTTTTTAGCGGCAATGATACAGATAAAAGATAAAGATCAATTCAAGTGAGTGTGTGTTGCGTCAAAATATCAAGAAAAACTTCGAAATTTCAAGGAATTACATGCAACAGGAAGCTAAAGATATTTCTCCGTCGAGATTAACGACATAACGTGAGAGATAAGAGCAGTACCGCCCTTCCTTTTCAGATTCTTCTCCCGACTCCACCCCACTTCGAAAATCGCTTTCGAAAGCGCGAACCGTTGCCCGAGATCTCGATGCGAGTGCACAAAATGGCTCCCGACGACTCAAGTCTCTTGCGAGGGACACGCGACCGCACCCATGAACTTCTCCAAGGAGAAAAAGTTTCTCTCTCTTCATGTGTCACGACATCCAGCAACACCATTGATTCGCCTTTAATTATAGTTCCTCGTTTTTAAAACGCTTAGCCAGTCTTCCTTACAACATACTTGACCTGAATATATTAGCGACCTTCCTTCTGACTTCCTGAAGAACGTTTTTTTCTTTCTTTCTTTCTGGAATACGGATTAATGAGAATATGTGATGGAAATATTAATGAAAATATTTAATGGAAATACTCCAAGGCATAGCGTTGAGGAAGCAAAAATTAATACTAGTCTCTGTTTAAACTCATTACTTTATCAAATATTAAGACAAGAGACCGCGAGATATTAACTATTAAAATATTCCTTTTGAAAACTAGGCAAAATGTGTAGTTCACACTGATAAAATTTACAGACGTATTAAAAATAAAATAAAAACATTATTTTTTTAGAGCTACAACAGGACGTATTTATCTCATTATTTCTAAGGTATCTTCAACCTTTTATTACTACCTGCAAAACTGTTTCCAACCAGCAAACATTTTTTTGCCTGCGCTGAGACTCGAACTCCGATCCATCGAGTTATCTCGCCTTGTGCTTTACCGCCACAGTCTACCGCCATTCTCTTCTCCACTCATTTGGGCGAAGCTTACAAATATAATTGTCTCTCCGTTATGTCCAACACGCTATTATCGAAAAACCATAGATTTCAACGAAACTTCGACCTACGCCTTTTTTTACCCTTCCCTTTCGTTTCATCGGTAGAAAAAATAAAGAATAAATCTGTAGCGGGTTTTGAGAAAATGTTTTCTTTATAAATTGCATTAAGTTCAAGTAGAAATTTAGCAAAAAAGCATTTTTACAAAAAATTGCACATGGTAATTTTTAAAGAGCTTATTTTTAGAAAAGATTTTGATTCAACCAGAACAATTCTATCTTCAATATTGAAGTTCTGATATATTCAATTTTTGCAATTTTTGAAAATACAATTTGCAGGAAATAAAAATAGCAACATATTTTTGCCGTTCTTTGGTACATACACGCAGACAATTTAAAGAGCAAATTTGGAGCCATATTTTAGAAAATAATTGTTTAAAAAAATTAAAATGCCCTACATTTCCCGCAAAATTACTCGAAAACTATTTTAGAAAATATTGAGCATGATTTTATTTCAAGAGCTGATTTTAAAGAACATGTTTTATTAAGAATAAAAATCTTCAATTCAATATTGTAGTTGTAGGAAGATACCGAAATGCTTTTTAACTTTTGCAATTCGTGAAAACTTAGAGACACCAACCAAAATGAAACCTGCGACATTCTTTCAAGGGTCTTTACGCTATCGGACGACAAAGTTTATTCAAAACATTTAAAGATTTTTTGAGGCAAATTTGAAAATATTTGAGGCTTTATGTCAAGTACCCTCCAAAAACAAAATAACCGATTCAAACTCAGAGGGTATTCAGTACATTAAATTGATCGAAGAATCTCAATTTTGGAGAAAACTTGCTAAACAGTTTAGGCGCTAGTGTTAACCACAGATATATGAGCGGACAGACAAACTTTCAGCCG